ATACAAAAACATGTTGACTTTCAAAAGCATTGAACAATCTCACCAAGTCAAACTTTTGAAATGGTTAGTGTATGTCTTTAATGTAATACTCATCAATGCCAAAACTTGAGAAATCTTAATCACAAACATCTGTGTGCTTTTTCACCCATAATTCTCTTCAAATCAATCAAGTCCACGCTCAACTCGAGCCTGACATGCTTGTAAAAACTCTCCACTGCCTGCTTTTTCATCTAGAACTTCCCACACGCCAAATATAAGGCTGTCTGCCATCAGAGAAACCCAGAAACCTCGACCCGAGAGCCAAACCCTGAGCCATGTTCTACTGTGTGACTTTACTGCAATACCACAGTCATCGACAGCTGTGATAATACGGTTCCAGATCAATAAATGGTTGCTTACATAAATATTTCATTGTCACATGGAGATTTATGCTAAGCTTTATTAGCTGTGTTTAGGCTTTGGGAGGGTTAGGGGTGCTCTGTCAGACTCAAACTAGCTCTGTCATTTTGGAGATTTACTCTGTATGGATCGTTGGAATCAGTAAGCTGTTTACTGGAGTCTCAGTCTGACTGGATCATTTGAATCAGTGAGTTGTTTACCGGAGACACATTCTGAATGTGTCCTTTGAATCTGTGTGTTGTTTATTGCTGAGACTAACTCTTAATGGATCAATTGAATCAGTGAGTTGTATATTTGAGACTCATTCTGAACAGATAGTTTGAATCGGTTTTGTTTACTGGATATTCAGTACGAAAGGATTATTTGAATCAGTGAGTTGTTTATTTGACTCTCACTCTGAATGGATCATTTGTATCTGTGAGTTGTTAATTGGAGTCTAAGACTGAATGGATCATTTAAATCAGTTAGTTGTTTATTGGAGACTTGCTCTGAATGGATCATTTGAATCTGTGAGTTGTTTACTGGAGTCTCACTCTGAATGGATCTCTTGAATCAATGAGTTGTTTTCCAGAGACTTGCTTCTAACAGATTGTTTGAATCATTGAGTTGTTTATTGGACACTGCCTCTGAACAGATAATTTGAATTAGTCAGGTGTTTATTAGAGACTCACACTGAACAGATCCTTTGAATCAATGAGATGTTTATTGGTGACTCGCTCTGAACAGATCATTTGAATCAGTGAGTTTTTTTTATTTGTAGACTCACTCTTAATGGATCATTTGAATCACTGAGTTGTTTATTGTAGTCTTAGACTGAATGTACCATTTGAATCAGTGAGGTGTTTATTGGAGATTCACTCTGAACAGATCATTTGAATCAGTGAGTTGTTTACTAGACTCAGTCTTACGGATCATTTGAATCAGTGAGTTGTTTAATGGAACTTCGCTCTGAATGGATCATTTGAATCTGTGAATTATTGAAGACTCACTCCGAATGGATCATTTGAATCAATTAGTTGTTTACTAGAGACTCACTCTTAACAAATGATTTGAATCAGTGAGTTGTTTGTTGGAGACTCGCTCTGATTGGATCATTTGAATCAGTAATTTGTTTACTGGAGACTTAGTACGAATGGATCATTTGAATTAATGAGTTATTTACCGGAGATTCACCGAGATCAAATCAGTGAGTTGTTTATCGGACTCTCACTCTGAATAAATCATTTGAATCTGTGAGTTGTTTATTGGAGTCTCAAACTGAATGAATCATTTGAATCAGTTAGTTGTTTATCGGACACTCGCTCTGAATGGATCATTTGAATCAGTAAGTTGTGTTTTATTGGAGATTCACTCTGAAAAGATCACCTAAATCAGTGAGTTGTTTATTGAATCAACAAGATAAGCTGAGCACGGGCAGAGGCGGAGTTGAAAACGAAGCTGTCAAGCCGGACACTTTGGGGCTCAAAGTTGCCGCAGTCATGATAACCGATCACATGGCTTGATCATTTATTGATTTATTGCAACAACAACAAAAGATTTACAGTACAAATAATACAGAATATAGTCTCTACAAGCTATAGTTCATTTTTAAACAAGGGAATTATTATTCAAATTTAAGTAGCCTATATAACAAACGCATGAGAAATAAGGGGAAAACGAGAGGGCACATAAAACGGAAATAAATATCTACGAATAGGCCTATTAAACACAAAACATTAAGCACATATTATAGGAGTTGAAACATCAGTCTTTAAGCTACTAGATGTTGAATGGTATGTCAATACTGTTCCAGTTCTTGATTTACATTTGTAGATATAATACTTTCCAAAATATATAATATTGTAAAACCCAAAGGTGTTTTGATTAAGTCTTAAACTATGAAAACGATCATTTGGAAAGTGAAAGCATTTTTTTAAAAAGCACTTTAATACAAACGATTGAACAAAATAAATGAGCTACACTAAATATACATTTCCCAGAAAGAGCAAGGTACATCAATGTCACTTTTAGGATTTCTGCATAAACGGCTTAACAGGAAATAAAATATTTTATAATCATATATTTTTATATTTAACAAAGTATGTTTTACTTAATTTGCTAAGAAATCTTTATAGGGATGTCAGGATGAATGATGATAATTATTTTATTACAAGTCTGTAATTTGAGTTAATATTTTGGTTATTTACTAAAATATATGATTTAAATCGTTTATGGAGCTGAAGTGGTCTGTATGAAAAAGGCTGAATAAACCTGTGCAAACAATATAGTCATTATGAACATTATTTAACAAGGGATGATACTGCAGTAAAATTGTTGTAGTTTTTTAATAAGCATGATGTGTACAGGATAGAAATTGTATAAAAAGTTGATTTTTTTAGTGAGACAGAAGTTGTCCAATCATAAACCCGAAACTCACGTGGTTGTTGTGTAATATCGATGTTGTCATTGCAGCTTCAGCAGTCGCTCTTCAGATGCTGCACCGGCTGAATCAGTCGTCTGATTTCAGAGCGCTGTCGCGGTACTTTGATGCCACATGTGACAGTCACATGGCGTCGGTGCAGCTTCAATCCACACAAAATTTCTAACTGGCATGCATCACTTTAAGACAGATTTCAATCAAACTGTGCAGCGCTGCATGAAGTCGAAATCACCTAGAGACTCAGGCTGCATCCAAAACCGCCTACTACTCAGTAGATACTGCATTTGAAGTTAAACGTACTGCTCGGCCGTTAGAAAAGAATGTTCTATACAGTATGAATGTGAAAAGTATGAATTGAATTCGGACGTACTACATCCGCCATTTTGTCATGGTCACGTGACCTACCTGCGCCAATTGCGTCGCGTTACTCCTATTCATGAATTCGCTTGCGGGGCATCATGGGATAGAGCAGCATGCATGGGATGTGCACTCCAGAATCTCGCCGGAAGTAGTAAGTCATCCGGGTACTTCTTGCATACTGATTTTTAAAGTCTATGAATTTGGACATACTACTCTGCTCGCATACTGATTTTAGCGTACTATATAGTATGGAAGGGGCGAGGCAGTGGCGCAGTAGGTAGTGCTGTCGCCTCAGTTGGCGTTTCTGTGTGGAGTTTGCATGTTCTCCCTGCCTTTGCGTGGGTTTCCTCCGGGTGCTCCGGTTTCCCCCACAGTCCAAAGACATGTGGTACAGGTGAATTGGGTAGTCTAAATTGTCCGTACTGTATGATTGTGTGTGTGAATGTGTGTGTGGATGTTTTCCAGAGATGGGTTGCGGCTAGAAGGGCATCCGCTGCGTAAAAACTTGCTGGATAAGTTGGCGGTTCATTCCACTGTGGCGACCCCGGGTTAATAAAGGGACTAAGCCAACAAGAAAATGAATGAATGAATATAGTATGGAAGTATGCGGTTTCAGACGCAGCCACTCTCTTAACAGATTAATTGAATCAGTGAGTTGTTTGTTCGAGACTCGCTCTGATTGGATCATTTGAATCTGTAAGTGGTTTATTAAAGACTTGCTCTGAATGGATCATTTGAATCAGTAAGTTGTTTATTAAAGACTTGCTCTGAATGGATCATTTGAATCAGTGAGTTGCTTATTGAAGACTCACTCTAATTGGATTATTTGAATCTGTAAGTGGTTTATTAAAGACTTGCTCTGAATGGATCATTTGAATCAGTAAGTTGTTAATTAGGTCTTGCTCTGATTGGATCATTTGAATCAGTGAGTTGTTTATTAAAGACTTGCTCTGATTGGATCATTTTAATCAGTGAGTTGTTCATTGCAAACTCACTTCAACTCAATTCTTCATTTGAATCAGTGAGTTATTTACTGGACACTCACTCTAAATAGATTACTTGAATCAGTGAGTTGTTTACCGGCCACTGATCCTGTATGGATCATTTGATTCAGTGAGTATGGTTTGAATTATTCTCATCTCTCCACTCACATTTTCTCACTTCAAATACGTTTTACTCAGCTGCATTCAGGAAATGTAGTAGAGTAAAAAGTACAATAATGTGTTTAGGAATCTAGTGTAGCAAAATAATATACAATATACTGATAACGGTACTTTAAATATATACTTAAGAACAGTAGTTATGTTACTGTCCACCACTGCCTTCACTAAGAATTGTTACCCAGTGATGGTACTACATTTGTTCATATCAATAAATGTTTCTGCTGAAACCCGAGTGTCCCTCGATACTGATCTCGCACTTGGCTTACTTTCTCTTTTTTTGTCATCTCTGATTCAACACTTTCATCCAAAACAGTTTACAGAACACTTAATACAGGGTCAATCCTCCACAGAGTAACTTGAGTTTGTGCGTCGCTCTCAAGAGTACAGCGTGTGATGGTTTGTTGATCACAGCTTACAAAGTTTGAACCTACAACCTTTTGGTTACCAGCCCAGTTCTTTGATATATATTTTTTTCAACACCACCCTCAAGTAATCGCCTCTGATTTGTGGCCAAGATTCATTTTTTACAGTTGTTTCATAATTTTAGAATGACTTGGCTTTGGTTTCAATCCCTGCATTAAAAGATCAGTTGTGTATTGGATGCCTGTGTGCTAGTCTTTCCATTAAACTAAGGTTGTTTTTTGTTGTTGCTTTCTCAGAGAACCAGCCTGTGGAAGCCAAGCTGCCCTGGTTGAAACAAGCTCAAGAGCTGGAAGAAACCAAAGTAGCCTTGGAAGACCCAACGTGAGTTATTGAGTTATAACTATTTACACTGAGACTCAATTGTTGTCTTTCTCTTAGACAAATGACCTGTGTTCACCCAGTCCTACTTTTATGGGGTCTGGGATACAGTGGAATGACATCAAACATTGCTTCTTCTCAGATTCACTGCGAGATAAACCTGTGCAAAGCCTTAATGCGAGTTTATCCAACAGACAATGTTTCCCAGGATTCAATACTGGCTTCATCTTTAGCGTTCAGCTATTTACAAGCAGACTTCACAGAATTAGGGAAACCTCCACGGAAAGTTCTGCAAATTTCCACACAGTTGGAATTCTCTTAAACATCTTTAAATGTTTGTTTTGTTATTTTGGTTAATATGAGTTATACCTAGGGCCAGACGGAATCTGCAGACGTTTTTTGCTTTTTCTGCTGAGAATTTTGGTACAAATCTGCGGATATCTGTGGAATTATTTTGGGAGTATCCAGAGGAGTATCATGACTAAAACCTTAATATATAAAAGTAATAAATTACTGAATAAAAACTGAACAAATTCAAATTTACACATTTACTCAAGTAAATGAACAGAATTAATGATGGGCTTAAAATCTGCAGAAATCTGCAGAATTCTTGGGAAAATCTTTGGAAAATCTGCGGAATTCTGCGGAAAATCTGTGGAAAATCTGCAGAATTCTGCGGAAAATCTGTGGAAAATCTGCGGAATTCTGCGGAAAATCTGTGGAAAATCTGCGGAATTCTGCGCGCGCAGATTCCGTGTGGGCCTAGTTATACCTATAATTCGTTCATTCATTCATTTTCCTTCAGCATAGTCTTTCATTTAAACACCCATATACTCTCACATTCTCACACACACACTTATAAACAACCAGCAATTTCATTCATTCATTTTCCTTCAGCTTAGTCCCTTATTTATCAGGGGTAGCCACAGTGGAATGAATTATAATATGCAGCACATGCCCTTCCAGCCACAATCCAGTACAGGGAAACCCCCATACACTCTCACATTCACACACACTCATGTGTTACAGCCAATTTCATTCATTCATTCATTCATTCATTTTACTTCGGCTTATAGTCATATTCATAAGGGGTTGCCACAGCGGAATGAACCTGCCAATATATCCAGCAAATGTCTTACACAGCGGATGCTCTTCCAGCTCTTCCAACTCATTACCAGGAAACACCCATACACACTCACATTCACTCATCCAATACCTCCAATTTAGTTACCTATAGCGCATGTGTTTGGAATGAACTTAAACACTAAAAACTGAACTACACTGTTCCAGGTACTATGACCATTTATGTGAAGCTGCTTTGACACAATCTACATTGTAAAAGCGCTATACAAATAAAGCTGAATTGAATTGAATTGGAGACAGTGCTAACCACTGAGCCACCATGCCACCCTATTTTTAGTTCTGTTTAACCCATTTGAACATTAATCTATTCTGCCTAATTCCCCAGACATTTCCAAGCAGCCATTACAGAAAAAAGCCTGCACACTCAGTCTGGCCCCACTACAAGTGTCTGAATAAACACATAAATCAATCTTTCCTCTTTTATAACCAATAATCCACTGAACCTTGAATCCTCAGGTATCTCAAGACAGTCTTGCCACATTCTGTGCATTGCAGCTCAGCAACATAGACTGTAAAAAAATATGGACGTAGTATCACCCATACATATGTTTCTGAAGAGCGCAAATTGATTTATTTGTTTATTTGGCAGGGATAGTGTACATTAATTAGCATTTCTGCTAATGCACCAGAATTTGCCCAAAGGCTATTTTTCATCTTTTGTCCCGGAACAACCTAAAACAAACTGTATAAAAATTATACAATCAATCAAACATAGTTAAAAAGTACTAAAATGGACATGGTTATATAGATGTTAAAAAATAATATTTACCAATTAAATTAAAACACCAACATTTTGTTATAGAGATAAAAATAGTTGAAACACATTTAAACAACAGATCACTAAGATGGTAGGCACAAATGGAAACATGCTAGTTTCAATCTAATCAGAATGATGACACGTCTGATTCTCTATAAACCAGATTTTTAAATGCTTTTTGAATATATTAAAGGAGGTTATATCTCTGATGCTGCCAGGGACAGAATTCCCACTCCTGTGCAGCTGTAACTGAAAAGGCACCCTGACCAAAGGTACTTTTCCGGAGTGGGACAATTCAGTCTCCTCGGGCTGCCCCTCATGTTGCTCTGTGTGTGGTGTTCCTGATGTTTACAAACTGACTGAGAGGTGGGGATGACAGACCATGAATGATTTTATACAACAGGCAAATTTTTGAGTACTTAATGACATTGTGAAATAAAACTACAATGAATGTACCATCGCCATTTTGCTTGCGGGTAACCAAAAATGGATACAAGAGATACATTTGCCTGCTAGCATTTTGCTTAGATGGGGTTTTCTTTGGGAAAAACGCTTAATACTTCATTATCTGCAACTTGTTTGTGTTATGACCACTTGTGCTTGGTTGTATACTATAATAATACATTCTCTTTTGTTGTTTTCTTTTTTTAAAACACTGTTGTACTGCATTGAGCCACTAAGCATTGTTCCTATGATGCTTTTCTACAGGAGGAAAATGCTAATTACTTCCAAATACTTCAAATATAGTCTGTGTTAGTAAAAGCAAGGGCCACTTGAATGGTTTGTGAGCACAATAAAGTGCACACAGCATGCCATATTATCTGCTAATTGTTAGAAATAATCCCAAAAGGTGATTGACTGTGTAAAGCCACATAAAACAAATGTGCAAGTCTGCCAGTCGCCACATGAGCAGGAATCCGTTCGCAGAGAGATTGCCTCTCGCGTCATTTAAATGACATGTATGAAAGCGTCTAGGCTTTCTTGTAAAACATAATGATGGCAGAAGAAGTTGTGATAGGTTATTCAGAATGTGCTGGGATTCTTAGGTGATTAAAGGTGTTTTCTGTCACTACTTGTTTAGCCTGCATTAACGAATTCAGTGTAAGGTGCATGATTAATCATTGATCGGGATCTCAACACTCAGACAACATAAACTATAAATGAGGGTGACTTGCATGTTTATTAATCCTTCGAATTGCTGCATTTCAATCTGTGTTAAATTTTTTTTTTTAAGTTTTTCATTTTTTTAGTCTTTTGAGTTAATTATGAAGTTATAAACAGTCAAATAGCGCAAAAGTAATAGGATAACAGTTTATGGTTTAGATTTAACCACTGATGTTTATGGTAAAGATTAAAATCACCGTCTTAAGGCACGTGCATACCGAGATGTTTTTTGCTCGCATTTTCCGTCAACGTTGAACGCCTTGTGACCAAATAAAGGGCGTTTATGTGATCGTGCACATCAACGTGCAAAACGGCAGGCGTAAAAGCGTCATTAAAAAAAAAAAAAAACGTCTCAATAAAACCTTCTCCTCCAATCAGCATGGCACTTATGTTCACGTGCACGTTGCTGCTGAAGTTACAGTAAAAAGCACTTGGAGGTGCTCAATCGCAAAACTGTCAATGCGAGCGCAAATTGAAGAAGATGCCCAGAGGCGATATGAACGTGGAGCTGCTTATTGCACTGGTGAACAAAAATCATTTGTTCATCGCTAGAGCTGGAACTGCTACTTTAACTATGCATGCCCACAAGCGTCTCAACTTTTTGTTCTTCTTCTGTGTTACAAGCGGGTGTCAGAAGCTTAAAGTTGTGTAGCGCCATCTAACATCAAGGAGGGATTTTGCATACTCTTCTGCTCAACGGCAGTGAAAATCGCTTGGGTTTGAATCCAGAAAAAATGTCTTGAAAAACGCTGATGATAAACGCAATAGATAAGCATGCCGGTATGTACGAGCCTATATGCTCAAACATAAAAGTTGTTGGCAGCAATTACATTATTTAACCAGTAGGTGGCGACAACCAGCCATCAAAAATATGCCATGACACATGATACATCTAGCAATGAAACATTAAATTTTATGAGTGAATATCTGAATCATTTATAGAAAATGAGACTAAAATTAAATGTGGATTGTACAGATTACAATGTTAGATTTCTACATTTATTGTTATCAGCAACAGTAGTAGTAACAGTAAATTGTTCACAGTACTGAATATTTTATAATTTATTTTTATTCAGCTGATTATTTCATCATTTTATTTTTAATAAAATAACAGCTTCTAAATTCTGTTTGTTGAAACCAAAAGTGTCTTGCAGTACTGTTTTTGTAATCAATGGAAAGCAAATTACATTTGTCGTTTCCTCTTTTTGGCTGATCCTAAAATTGGTTCCATCCGAATGTGGAAAAACAAGTGAAGTTTTATAACCTTATTTCGAGAGGCGCACGTGATATGATTAACTTCAGCTGATCCTTATCGCTAATCAGTAGCTAGCCTATCAGAGCATTCCAAAACTACTTATAAATCCTGCCTTATCTTCATTCTTTATTTTCGTTTTCGGAAACCTCCCCCCATCCTTCCCTTCTCCCTCCTCCTCTATTATGATTGGGCAACACGGTGACTCAGTGGTTAGCACTGCTGCCTCGCAGCAAGGGGGCCACAGGTTCGAGTCCTATTCGAACCACTTGGCACTCTCTGCACGGAGTTTGCATGTTCTCCCTGTGTTTTCTCCGGGTCCTTCGGTTTCCTCCTACAGTCAAAAAACATGTACATAAGTGAATTGTAATACAGTCACAAGCACCTAGCGCATACATGTCTAAACAATCAGTATCACCCATTAGCCAGAACACGGGGGCATTCGAGAAACACCTGATCTCGTATCCCTCCTAATGCTCATTGACCAGGCGGAAACCTTGGGCTCATCTATCTCTGAGCTCAGGGTTCTCTCCCGGGACAGAATGCCAAACCTGCGATTATAGTTGAGCAATTTCTAAGTGTGACCTCTTGAAAAGTCAACAAAAGAATCCAATTGCAAGTTTTGACTGTTTTGCGAAGCAATTGCAAAAGTGCCGGTCAAAAACAAAACAAACAGAGTTCAAATGG